TTAAACGTTTTTTAGTATATATATATATATATCCTCGTATGAAATTGCGTGAGAGGGTTGATTAAAGTTTAAAATTTTTTATCCATTTATGAAAATTCAATAAAAAAGGGATGCGTGAAATATCGGGTAACGGGTCACGACTTCACACTCTTCGAAATTTTCAATCACCGTCTGTACAAATGCTGCTTGTTTTTTTTCTAAATATGGAACTCAACTTAATACTCGAAAACTCAGATATAGTGTGGCTCAGGGGCTCTTGAAAATAACGTTATTTTAAGTGATATCAGAGAAAAAGTCAAACAACGTTAAATCGAGTGATCTTGTTGACCAATTCACGTCACCAACTCGGAAAATTGCACAACCAGAAAGTAAAATATAAAAACTCAAACTATTGCTCAGAAATGAAAACGCCTCGTACTTATGAGTAATATTTCATTTTTAATAATTTTAAACTATGAACCATCACTGTGCACTTTATTTTTTTTTAAATTTTTACCAATATATATCACTTATGATACAAGAATCTAATTATGCCTAAATTTGCGAATTTTGGGACATTCTTTAAAAGCAACAATGAAAGAATTTGCTAAATGTCAATTGATTGAATTTTAGAAAATTAGCTACAAAGTTTATAGGGACGTCAAAAGCATACATACTTTCTTGCATACAGAAATCTGTAATCAGTACAATATTACAAAACAGATACAATTTACAGAACTAAATCTAACAACTACAAATTTTTTCAATAGATACACAATTTCTAAAATATACTTATTTTGGCAGAATTTTTGATGCTACATTTCTGACTACTGTAAGGTCCCGTCGATAACCACTGAGCAGTTTGTGGAATCAAGAAAAAAATCAGCGTTCAGGAACACCAGCAATAAAATCGGAGGGTATTCTAAACGGCTTGAAAATGTTAATGGATTTTTTACGCAAACTTAGATATTTGTTTGAGTGTAAAGTCAGGAATTTCTTTTTTATATAAATGAAAACATTTAAAAATCTCAATAAGTTGGTACTTTAAACAAAAAACTTTGGATAGCACTTGCTTTTGCACATTTACTTTTTTTTCACCAAAAAAATGCATTATGAAACATACTGAGTAAATTTTTTTTCAATAAGATACGTGAAATATCAAGTATTTCTTTGTTCTTTGGAAATGCTTTTATCCTTACTTTCTTTGAAAAGAAGAGCATTGTCCCAAGCTTTTATGCAAACTTTTACAAGAAATATACTCATACTAGGAGGTTCGCCCCCTGCTCGCTGACGCTCGACATCCCCCGAGAATTGCTACGCAATCCTATGCGGTTCACGCCGTGAACCATGGCTCGCTGCGCTCGCTCGAGATTGAACACAATCTTCTAGCACAAAGACATAGTATATTATCATCAAAGGCATAGTATTTTATCCTCAAAGACATAGTATTTTATCATCAAAAACATAGTATTGTACTTATGTAGAAGAATTCTATCAATGTTCTTATTGGCTTTTAAAAAAGTATATTNAAGAGGATGTTTCTTTGCCATATTGTTTTCATTTGAAAGTCTTACATTCCCATCACCGAATCATATACAGTGTATAATAAATTAGTTAATGCTAGAAATTCTGAAAGTTTTAGAAAAAAATTTTATTATTTAAAAATATAAACTTTAAACTCTAACTTTTCCTTGTGAGATAATAAATAACCCTCAAAAAGTCCTTCATTTTCAAGAACACAAAAATTTGCTTTATCGCCAAATGAAATATTTTTTGGTGATGAGCATTATTGAAATCAATTTCTCTATTAATTAACATTTGTGATAAAGTACATAACATTTTACCATTCCATTGCAGAGCGTAAACATCCAGTATTGTTTTCAATACGTCTGTTGGTAGCTTCAGTTGAATCAAAAATATACAGCTGCCCGCATCCAGCATTATTTTGATCATGAATCCGAAAACAATACGGTCCATTTCCAGGAGGTGGCTTTATGTGTGCTCCAAATGATGCAAAAGAAAGAGCAGAATTATATTACCGGATATGATTTCGATAATTTCATGCCTCAATCGAATTATCACTTAATAATTTTTAAAGCAACTCTAGAATGTCCATTAGTGTAGGCAAATTAATTTTTCCATCGTGGCAGCATTTCGTATATTTGCCAGAAGAATTTCTTTCTTTGGCCCAGAAGTAAGCATTACAATAACTACATTGTTCCGTCATTGAGCCAATATTATACTCTTCGACATCTACTGTTAAATCTTGAACAGTTATTATTGCACTTGATCTCTGCAATCTACGTCTTCCATAACATTCCTCAACACTTTCTTGGGCTCTTCGAACACGTTTTCTTTCATTACGTTTAAAAGCCCTAGCAGCTTCACTAATATTCTGCATTTTAAAGCGTGAAAATTCAATGCATAAATAAACGCGAAATATAAAAAAATTCAATGCATTCAATACAAACACTTAGACGTTTTTTAGACGTTTAGGTAGCTCCCAGTAGAAAAATATCAATTCAACAGCGGCCTTTTAAAGCATTCTCACTTCAATTAATTAATTAATTCCTAATTGAGTTTAAATTAAATATTATCATGTTTTTAGGGCATGAATCTGAATTGAACAACCTGATTATGCTCACTCTGGTTATTGTTTCCGATTTTAAAAGCGCTATATGTTGAGCCACCTGAGCTGGATTTAGCATGTGACATTTTTAACAGCAATTATTGGTCGATTTTCTAACGTTGCCATTCGGGGAGTTGTAATGAGGCTTTTTTTTTGGTGCCGTGTAAGAGAAATATATATATAGTTTCCTTATTTAATCAATACAAAAAAAGAATTTCTTTTTTGAAAAATAAAAATTTTTAAGTAAAATATAGCTTTTGTCATTCACTTTGTATGGGGAATAAACACCAGAAACACAGTGAATTGTAATTCTATTTACTATATGCTCACCTAAAAACAAAATAAGTAACTGCAGTAATTGATTTTCGTTCTTTCTTGACTATAGAATAAGAATTATCGTTACTTCTGTTGTCTTATGCGACTTGCCAATACTGACAAGACTATTTTAAGTCAGAGAAGTGTGCTTCTTCTTGTTTTCCAGTGACGTCATTTAAAGCCAAGAATTTGACTTCTGCCCCACACATACGTCACAACCCATCTATCCGTAGATCGTAATTTTGACCTGCACCAGAGCACGATCAATCTCCGATCCAGTATCCCCAGAGGTTCTTTTATTTTTATTTTATAACCTCGTTGAACAGCAGACCCAATTTATTGGCTACTAATGTTCAACTCCTTAACATTGCAATTTTGAACTCAATCCGGAAGACAAGGGAACTCCTGGATCAAGTATTGAGAAAAAAAGTTTCTTCGTTAAGGGCTTTTTGATGGAAGCCGATGATTGAAATCTCCCACGGTTAGTCTGACGGCAAGGGGACTCTCACCCATGATCTGTCTACAACTGAGAATTTACAATAGTCAATGTTTATAATCGATGGCAACAATTTTGTAAATATATTATTGACATGTATATTTCTTACATCAAAACAAGTAATATTCCATTTTCTACGTCACTGACATATAAGCTACTTCTGAGGTTGTCAGATGTAAAAAAAATACAAGAAAATGAGGTTATGTTTAACACCAAAAATAACCTCATTAATAAACGTCAACTTCAACTTCATTTACACCTCAGAAAATCAATCTCATATATAGCTCAGAAATAATTTTAATTTAGATCGAAGGAAATTATTCACACCTCAGATACACGTATTTGCTTGAAGAGTAGAAAATAGTGATCCGCACACTTCATAACATCTAAAGAATTTTTCCATCAACCTCAAGTGTGAATAAAACAATTTCTTACACCTTGGGAGGTTAATCTTCTAAAGTTATTTTTGAAATCACTTCGAAGAAATCTCAAATAAACCTTGACACCTCGAAAAAACGTTATGTAAACCTCGAAAATAACTTAAGTTTTTGTAAAGAAAAGTAACAATAAAAAAGAGTACATAAAATGTATTTGAAGGACACCTTCTCGAAAATACTTAAAAGGAAAAAAAATAAAGCATCCTCGTATCCAAAATTAAATCGTCAAACAAGTAGTATGTGCAACCACAATCATGTACTTCTATCAAATGATTTCACCTATCTGCAATACCATAGACGCAATGACTGGGCATGTTCCCGATAACCATATAAGTACCGGCACCATGACGTCCGCTATCATGCAGTATAGTCAGCAGTATAGCTTAGTTACTTTACTTTTTTGTCCAATAAGTAAAAAAAATACATAAAACATCATCGGAGGCGGCAAGATCAATATGGTCATTGGACCAGTA